AGCACTCTTAGTGGAATTACTATTCTGTTTTGTAAAGATACTTTATTATCGTGGGTTTGTTGTTTAAGAACACCTTATTTGTTTGTAAAGTTGTTGCTATTGTATCGCTTCAATTATTGAATTCTTCTTATGTAGTGTTTACTGTAGGTTAGCGAACTAAGCGCTGCGTTTTAAGACTGCAGAGGACTGGAAGGGGAGGGAATCACTCGGCCGTGGCAGTCAACAGGCGACCAAAGGCCGGGCGATGTCTTGTAAACACTTTGAAAATGCAATTATGTAATTTATTTATTAAACGACCGTTGTTTGTTGTTGCTCGTGTTATTGTTGTTGCAAGCTCGCTGACAATGACATTTTCTTTTTCGGTGCTATTCGTAACAGTTTATGGCTCTGGCGGGGAACAGGAAGGGGGCTATGGTTTTGACATTTGCACTTGCCGGCACATTATGAGCGCGTAATTATGATTATTTGAATTAAAGTTGTGGCAAGTTGGCATGAAAATTACAAAACCCACTTGCCAGCGGGTAACCGACCGATGCTACGAACACCATACTCGTACATACTATTCATGTCTATGTACATGATACCGTATGTTAACCCCAAAGCCTTGGCCATTAGAATGTCGCGACGTCATGTTTATTGTTTAACAGCTACTGAAATAGCAGATGTTTTATACTATAGATGTAGTAACAGCCAATTGCATTATCATTATAAATTCTGTGAGATCCGTTGTCAGCACAACATCATGCGACGGTTAAAGGCCAGTACTGCATTTTCAGTGAACCTCACCAAAACCCAATTGGAGACTAGGAAACGAGAAAAATAAGTCTTATTAAAAATTAGAATACTAATATCTTAGGCGCTTAATAAATTCGCCGTATTCAAAAAGAGAGTTTGACACTCAAATGGGGGAAGGCATTTGGAAAAATGTTAGTTGTATTTATATTTAAAATTTGATAATGAATCATTTCAAAATCCATTTTAGAAATTCGATTAAAGCGATAAAGGCTCTCATTAAATGTACTTATGTGTGAGTGTTGGAAATTAATTTGTTTATCAGCTGTAAACACATTTTGCTTCCACATCGCAATCACAGTCCCATCAATACATAAATACTCGTACATGCAGCATCCAGCCACCGAACAGTCCACTTACTCTGCCAACAACGGAAAGTCTTTTAGCCACTTAATTGTTTCATTTGCCATTGTTGTTGCCCTGGGCTGTTATTATTGCTGCTACGAGTAGTGCTGCTGTTGTTGCAGTCGCTGCCAATCTGGTATTTGCCGCAACCATAGTCGCATCCATGGGAGCGAGAGCGCAGCCAACCAGCCAACCGACAATGGCCGTGCTGCTGCGACAACGAGCTACAAATTTGATTGACAATCAAAGCCACGCAGCCGCAAGCTGTCAGAGCAAATGAGCCAAAGCCAAATGAATTACGAACAGTAGAGATTGCGTCGGAAAGACTACGAAACATTTGGAAGTGCATCCTTTATCTTAAAGCCGATAAATAAGGGCAGCACCAGTAAACCGAAATGAAAGCCAAAGATACAACTGTTGAGGAATCTTACAGACTAATTATTTTATTTTACGAACACCACCTCTGATTTGAAAGGCTTTAAATGGTCGCAAGCGTTGGATATATCCAACTGCTAAAAATATTTCTTCTCGATTTTGTTTGATGCTGGTTGACAAATGAACGTTAAATAATTTTGATCTGCCTATCAATTAAAAGGAATTATATGCTAGTTTGTGGATCTAATGGGGAGAGTTTCTGAACTCCACGCGCTCAGAATGTCGGATAAATAATATTATTAAATTTTCAAGCAAATTACAGTCTCTTTTAAAAATCGAAAAGTCAACTTTTTTTGCGTTGCTTATCGATATTTCTATAAATTATATTACAATCGAATTTTTACAATATGTGCCTGATTTTGTAGTGGTTTTTTACTGTGAAAATACAAACAACAATAGCAACAGAAAATGTACAGTTCGTCAAGTCTGTGTGTGGTTAAATCGAATGAAACCGGAAGTTTTGTTGCCATCACTGTGACTCGAGGCCCGAACCCCGAACCCCCGAGGTCTGAGGTCTGAGCTGTGCAGTCTGAAAAGGCTGAAGCCCGCACCCGGGCTACCCGAGTGCGTTCAACTCGTTTGAATTGATTTGCCATGCTGGCGTTGCCGCCAACGCCACCGCCATTGTCGCCACCGCCGCCATCATCTAGCTGGTTGTTGGCCATTTCAGTAGCTGACCATTACTTTTATAGAGGCGCAACCTTATTAAAAGTAGGGTGCATAGACATTACCACAGACCGATATGGCGTACACTCAGCAAAAAAATTGGACCACACAAATAAGTAACGAATAGCAAACTTGTGGCAGACAAACTCTTGAATGCCCTGCAGCAATATTTTATTTGCTTGTGATACAGCAACACATTAGTACTGCAAGAGTCATACGGCAGCTATCTAAAATAATGAGGCTACATTTGTTTTATGACAAACTTGCTCTGTGTATCTTGTAACTAGCGTGTATGGTTCTTAAGTTTTCGAAGCTCATACAGACAAACACTCGGACGAACAGACAGATAGACGTATTGATCCGCATGACGATGTTGATCATATACATATATACCTATAATGGTGGCTTAAATTTCTTGTGACCCTTTCACCCTTCGGGTACAGGAATAATGTAAACTATTTTCTCCGAATGTACAGATATACTCTAAGGCAGAGCTTGTGGAGCTTGGTTCAATGTCTGCAAAATACAAGAATAAAAAAGCACCAAGAAAATTTCCATATGTGCCATCGACATCGCCATCAGTATCGCCATCAGCATCGCCATTGCCATCGCGGGCCTCTGATCTTGGCGGCTTGTGTCGGGCCATGTTTGGCATTCTTGCCACACCTTGCACGCTGTCACATCGAATGAATTTACAGCAGCTGCCCAAGTTCGCCGGTCCGTGCATACCTTAGTTCCACAACTGTCCCTTCAGCTCGGGCCACACCACAACAGCACAACACACCACAGCACACCAACTGACCCCAACCGAACCCTCCTCATCTTCATCATCCGCAGCTTGGTGTGTGGCATTCGTTTTTTATTTGAGCTTCAATGCCGCACAAAGAATTTGTTGCCCAATCTGACGGCGATAGGCCGTTTACGACTTGGTGACGTAATTCTTCACTGAAAACTTTGCATGGACATGGCTCGTTAAAAATATCGTATATACCTTATGTAGATACCTAACACTCTTTGTTTGCAAAAAATAAAAACTACACATAACACTTTACTAAAACCAAATTATTTATTCTTGAATTTCAGGTAAGTTTCCAAGACACCACTCCCACAGCCAGCAGCCAGCAGCCAGGCAGTAGATATGGATTTAAAGCAGCTCTGGTTTCATTGAATGGATAATATATTTTAGAAGCTTATTGGTATGGCATGCGTAAGTCCATAATTGATGAGAAGAACCAATATACCCTTGAATGGAACAATACAAGCTAAAAAGAAATGGAGAAAACTGGCAATCCCCACAATTCATTGCCATTGATTGCTGTTAAAATTAGCGAGATTTGCAAATCGAATAGTACTTTAAAATTCTCCGTATTTGCTTGTTTAAAAAACGAATTGAATGAGTTGAAAAAAATGCTCAGTCTTGAAGTTAATTCCCTTATGAAATTTGAAAAGTTTTTTTTTTTTTTTTGTTAGTTAGAATCTAAAATGAGTTATCGTTATAAAAATGCATTGAAATTGTGTGCAATTTAGTCCTTGGATTAAATTTCCTTTTTATGAAGCTTAAATCTATAGAAAGTTTCATTTTGAATCTAAAAGGTTTTGGAAAGTTTAAAACTCATTAAATTTGGGAAATTGTGGAAACTTAGAAAATATCGTTTCTAAAATGCATCACCAGTTGTATGAATTAGAACGTTATTGTTATTCGTTAATTTAGTTCAAATGATAGATTTAGACGTCATGAATATTTGAAAACAGGATGCAATGAGTTTTGGAATTGTGAAAATCAATATAAATTATAAATTGTGGAAATTCATAGATTGATTGTTAGACATTGGGAGCCATAGGAATTTTTAATACAGAATGCACAAAATGTAAAAAAAATAAGCCAAATTGTAAATTGTGGTCGCTTTAATCCCCAAATGGGCATTTCAAATAAGGTCTCGTTTAGAAACATCGATTTCAAATCAATTTTCATTCTTCACTTCAATTGGGCTAATACGCATTTGAGTCTGTGAACATCATATTACTGAATCGAAAGTTTTGGAAATCTAAATTCGAATTTAAAATCTATGAATTGTTGGATCACAAAAAAAGCCATTTAAAGTTGATTTCGATTGTCGAATTGGAGCAAATTTCAGATGATTTATCGCTTTTTTTTTTTAAATAACGTTGCACTGATTTGTTTTCTTCTATATATATATATATAGTAAATATCCATTCCATAGATATTTCAGCTCTCGATTCAAAATGTTTCTGCTTCTAGCAAAATACTAGTCCAGCTCTCAATCTACCTAGGGAGCAGGTAGAAGAAATCCAGCCTGGAATTTGTGTAGACCTCACTAAAAACTGCAGGAACTGAACAATTTTGTATCTGCACACAAAGAATTCCGTTTACGTAAATAAAAAACAAAATCCTTATAAGGTCAGAGGTATTTTCTATGCGTTTGATGGCTTTCTGAAGACATATATGTTGTTATTGTGGTTGTTTTTGCTTTTGTTGTTAATGTCGAGCCTGCTGGCAGGTGATGTGAACACTTGAATAGTCAGAACCCGTTCCTGGCCAACTCGACAACTGGACGGCCTGGCAACTTAGCAACTTGGGAAGTTGGAGTAGGTAACCGGGTATCGTTCGAATAGCAAGGCAAGTTGCGAGCCAGCAATGCTGTTGACCATTAGTCTTCGCTTACTGATATGGCTAGTCAGGTGCCGTTTTCTCATTAGTGAGAAACACCCTCTGCCTTCGCAAGAAGTGAGAAAGGCCGGCATTATTATTGCAAATGGCAAACTGCTAACCTAGTTTCCTTTATTGATTCATAATTAATAATTAATATGCGAATAGCTATAAAGGCTCATAATTAATAATTCATATGCAAATAGGAGCTATAATAGGAGCCTTAAGAGTCACCCTGGGCTTCAGCGGCTTCGAATTCAACTTTCTGCTCGTCCTTGCCATTGCTGCTGCTCTTGGAGTTCTCATATTTGATGCGATAGGTGCCTTGGGGATCGTAGATTTTCTCCAAGCGCTCCCAATCCGCGGGCCGGTGGTCGATCAGATGGCGAGTGACCTTCTCAGCGCCATACTTTTGCTTCTCCGTGCACTTAACGCAATCGGTTTGTATAGCATCGGGCAGTATGTCTGGGAAAATGGATGATTCGATTCGAATAAGTAGAATTTCTACTACTGTTTTGGCTTTGGCTCACCCTTCAGCATTTTGGCATCGGGTGTACAGGGTCCATTGCCCTCCAGGCACTTGATGTAGTTGTTTAGGAGGCGCTCCTGCGCCAATATCTCGTCCAGGTCCACATTGTCGAACTTGTTGTCGTAGGCGCCAGCCGGCGTTGGCGGCGGATGCGGCAGTCCCTGGCAGATGGTGCACAGCATTAGCAAAGCAATGGCCAGACCTGACATTATTGCAGCTCGTTGGGCTCTCTTGTGCTGACCATAGCTAGAGAGGCTGTCGCTTTTATAGCGATCTCCTCCCAGCTTGTGGATGGGCGTGCGTGCCTGCGTGCTGTGCAACAATTTTGGTTTGAGTTCAATTAAATGAATTGAATTTGATTGCCATCAATTGCTTTTGCCATTGTTGTTGGCATTGTTGCTGTCATTTGTGTTTGCTAATGCAAATGACTTAGGCAACGAACTTGCCACCCACTCGCAACTGCTCTGCAACCGACAGCTGCCCGCCAAGTGACAAGACATTCGTTCGGGTTTCAAATCCAATTTTGTTTAAGCTCTTCTTGAAATGGCGGCTTTGTCGTGAACGTGAGGAGCGTTTAACTGTAAAACTGACAGCTCTCAAAGAATTATTGCACAGAGTCGAGCGAATAAATGTGCCACAATGCAACAGGCAGCATTGAGGCAGCAGGCATTAGCCATCTGAAGACCCATGTGGCATGGCAAATGTTTTACAACTTCCGTCGTTGCAATCGCAGCTGTCGCTATCGCATCCACCATTACGATCATCGTCATCGCAGCCAGCGACCGCTTTTCATTCGCTTCGGAGAAGGTTTAAGGTACTGTGGCGCCCCAAAAATAGTGGCAAGAAAAACCAAGACAAAGCTTTAAGATAGTCTTCATTTGTAAAGTCGATTGGGGAGTGCAGCTTCAAATGGTGTTTCTTTGGAGGTTTATTGTTTATCGAAAAACAGGTTGCTTACTTAGTTATATAATTGTTTGGCAAATTGTTCTGCAAATTTATTACCAACTGTCAATTACGCGGTTCACATACTCGACCAACTGAGTGTGCTATTCTTAAAATGATCAAAGGAATTACAACCATATGTGGGAGGTCGTAATTGTTAGTCAGCGATGACTTCCGATACGACCTCAAATGTTGTGTAAAGTGGTCGTAATATTAAAGCCATAAACAAATCTACTGAGCCCTAACAAAATAAGGCAATACAAGTAGAGTATGAAGAATTAAGCGCCATGTCCTGCCATAATTGTACGAAATTTTTAAATATTAAAATTCACTTTCAATGCTGAGATAGTTTGGATAGCAATGGAACTATGGCAAATACAATAGATGCGACACAAAGTTAATTTAAAATAATATACTTGTATGCATAATCTATTCTTCAAGCATTCCTAACTGCAGTTGAGTTCAACTCCCGGTTAATCGATGAACGAAAGATGTTGGGTTTTGTTTTTTTTTTTTTTTTTTTGGGGCAAACAGCACAGACCTGTTAATTAGGTAGCGGCCGCGATATGTTTGACATGTTTGCAGGGCCTCTCAGTGTGCATTAATCATCAGATTTTGTATCTCACACAACCGCCCGGCTTTGTGGTCATTTTCGGCAGCTTTCACATTACTTAATTAGCATAAGTGATTAGTTAAAAGCAGTCAGAAAAGAAGCAGTATAACGAAGAAGTGAGCGCTTAGAGCGCGCTTAGAACTGTGTCTAACTCCTTTCTCCTCTCGCTCCCAGTCACAGTCCCAGTCCCAGTCTCTGCCTCTCGCGCACTCACCTGATTGCTTCTGTATTTCTCTGTCGCATTCGTATTCGCATTCGGATTCCCGGTTGCTGTTGCTGCTTCTGCTGCTGGCCACGCTTGCATGCGCACAGAGTTCTAAAACTCTTAGCTTCCACTTGTTTCTTCCAGCTACTATTGTTAGTTAGTATCTTCCACTGCTGTCCACTGGACTGTGGACTGCGACTTTTTGCACTCCGCTAGCGGAAAGAACAGTTCTAGCTCTCGAGCACTGCAGACGTGTTCGCCGTCACTGCGTCGTCGTCGTGTGGCAAGAATTGTCGGTCGCAGTCCCTCTCCTACTCCTACTCCATTGTTTTTTCATTTTTTTCTTTATTTTTTCGTTGTTCATGTGAAAAATGTTTGCCCAATTGTGAGCCGTATTGTGAGCTGTGCTGGACAGTGCGTTCCCCAAATTTGTGCTTCGTGTTAAGCTAATATGCAAATTAGTGCCATTCTAAAAAATAAGCATTTCATGTACTCGTACTGCTACAGTCGAAAAGAAAAGGCGTGACTTGCCCAAAAGCAAATGAAGTTGAGCCATTGGCCACTCGGAATTCGTCAGAAATGGGTTCTTGAGCGGCAAGTAGCATCAAGAATGCGGCAAACCAACACTCCACAATTGAACTGCAGAGCTGTTGGCAGGGAATAAAGTATGAAGAATCAATCGAGAAGCACTCGGAACTATTTGAATTAATGAGGCAACTAAACGGAAAAATCGCTTCTTAAAGTCCAATTAAATGCTGACCCCGTTGGCTCAACATAGAACAATGCTTATGCCTTGCTAGTTGATGAGTTCTTTCTGCCGATTATCTGGCTACAAGATCAAAATTTGAATAAACTGAAGCGTGCAGTAATATCTCAGAAAAGGTTATACGTTGTTGTGTCCAAGCCATGCTTCAAAGATTTTACTGTACTCGTATGCTGGCCTTGAAGGTCGTAAAATAAATAAAAAATAAAAACCAACAACTGTTGAGCACAGAAAATCGATTGTTCGCAGTGCAAGATTTGAGTTTTATTGGTTTTGAATTGCCAAGTGTGTGTATTGGTGTATAATACGCGTGAAGGCAATTAAGTTTCGGACCCAAATGGACGTACTCGTATAGTAAGTGGTTGCTGTATACCCTGATAATAGCTTGAAGATGTATTGCAATTAATGACCGTTTGAACGCGATCGATTCTTCTGCACACCAAATGCCATCATCTCGTACTGTCACTTCGAGCGCAGCACACACATACTTGAATACGGCTTTATCTACCTGCCCTATCGAAATTTATTTTATTGTTTGGTTAACAATATCAAAAGCAAAGTGGTTCCATTTGCTGTTTGCGAGCATCGACCAAAATGACTTGCAAAGCGTCGATGTCTTATTTGCTGAAATTGGAGCAAATGGTAAGCGTCTGTGTCTAACATACTGTAATATCGCCATATACTATACATATCTACATATGTCTCTACTCTGCCCACAGCTAACACACACATACACACATAAATATATATATATATATACGCATCGCAAAAGATAAACACGTGCGCTTTAAGGCATGCCCAAGAGTCTCGACAAATTATGTAGACATGCTCGAGCTGATTTATGAATTGAATAGTTAGCTACATAGAGCATTATATACATACGTATGTATACATATATTGTAGCCTGTGTTAAGATCAACGTTAACGTTCACGGTTTGTTTTGCATGCGGAACGCGCCCACATATTTACGCACACCACTCCGACACACACACACACATCCACTATTAGTTATGGTTATGGGGGGCATGATTCATCACAAAATGTTTCCCATAGTTATAAAGTATGGGGTGTGTAGCATTAAGCTGAACATTGGATAAATGATTGATTTTGGGAAGCTACGACTTAAATTCCATATCTTCTCAGCTAAGCGATGGAATTTTATTTCCTACAGAGGCAAAATGCTTATCATACCCTTACAAAAAGTACATTGCTTTGATCTTAAAGCAGTGGAATATTAAAGCAGTGAATTATTAATATTAATTAGGTTTGAAATTAGTCTTGGTATGTACAATTGTTTGGCTTATAACATCATTGCAAGCAAAATGTAGATTGAGAAATGATTGGTTAAATGTAGCTTAGGTAAGATCAGATGACTGGCCATGGGTAGGATCCCATTTGAAACAACTCTTAGTGGGGAAATGGTTGATGTTTATGAAGATGTTGTAGCCATTTCGTAGATGAAGAACTTTTCATACTAAACAAATCATGATATATAATTACTGTGATCTAATTGTTACTTATTATAATAAATATTGTCGTACATATGTATATAGAACGCCTATACAGATAACCCACTTAATGGCTAAAAGGCAATATATGATTCGATTCTAAAGCGATAGCAACAAAATTTCTTATGTGGCGGTTATATACATACTACTACTATTTAATTTGAATACAAACGGGACTACTATATAAAACTGTTTAGAACGTGCAGATTTTATTTTTATTTTTTAAAGTAAGTCTTGGAGGTGCATAGCTTTTCTTGTTTTTAAAGAGTTGGTAACCAAATTAGAATATTGAAGTATGCTAAGTATTTTACAGTCGAATCAGACAACAATATCATATCGCAGCCATGGGAAAAATATTTGTTTCTGTTATTAAAAAGCAGAGAAGAGAGAGAGAGAGAGAGAAGAGACTTCAAAGTTAACATACGTATATTTGTTATTACTTTTTTTTTAGCGAATCCAAGCAATTTTTCTTTGTTTCTTTTGTTCCTGTATGCGCGACCCTCAAATTGCTGGCAGGGTCGGTCGTTCGTCTGCTGCACCCACCATAGCACAGCAGCAACAACAACACCAACAACAAAATTAGACAACACACGAAATGTGGGGTCAAAACAATTTATATATCTATGTGGGAAAATAATCGGCAGGAAAACATGCCGCAGCAATCGTCTATGTAGTACGTCTCTTTCGTCGCAATTTTCCAGTAAATTTTCTTCACAAATTGGTTTTTTGTTGTTGTTGTTGTTGTCGTTGGTGGTGGTGTTTATCTAGCATGCGAGCTCAGTAAAAATCAAAAATAACCACAATACCAACAACAATAGATAATTTGAATTGGCAGTCGCATGTGTTCGCATTTTCATGACCCATAGAAATGATTTGTTTTGTTGTTGTCGAATGATTTCTGAAAGGCCAAAGCATATAGTATGTGTATGTATGTATGTATGTATGCAGATTATTGAATATAGTCATGTACCTAACTCCGATTTGTCATTGTCCACGTTCTCGCCAATTTTCCGTTATTATAATTATTGTTATTGTTGCCCATCATCAACGCGCCATTTGGATTTGCATTCAATACCGATTTTTGAACACGTCATGCCATTAGCAGTCACGATAATTATTTAATGGTTATTTAATGCATTCATTGCCGCACTGGAATTGCACATATGCACATACATATGTATTACATACATACAGATGTACGAGTATGTATGTGTAGTTTGTTTATTAACTCATCCATAGGGATGTGAATGGCATTGAGGCATGTGAGATAAAACGAAAGACTTAGGCAACGAACTCATTTGTATAAACATACACAAGAAATAGCTGAGAGAGCTTTGACCCAAACATAATGCAGCAGCTGCGCATTAAGCTCTCTTAAATCTCCACATATGAATTGTGGCAGTTTAATAATCTCGATGTATCCTAGGGAGCATTAAGGAAGGGTTATCCTTGAGCAATGAGGAATGAGAAGATGCTAAACAGGCAGCGCAGATGCTCCTGCAGGATTCATTAAATAGATTATAAGTCTGCCCAACTCCTTTCCACCACTGTGGAATTTACAATCCTTTTTAGTTTTGGGAATGTAATGATTATCTTGACAAGGGCGTAGGCAGGGGGGCAGATTAAATAATGCACGGTGCATTTAAAAAATAACTTATGCATATGATCAATGAAAAATCTTCAACAAATCCAACTCAGATCTATTTTAAGGTGAAATAATAATGATGAAAGTGTGGTCGACTTTATATGGCAAAATTTATTCTAGGAGGGGAAAACGACCCCCCCCCCCCCCCCCCCCCCCACCTGCCTACGCCCTTGTATGTTGATGTTAAAAGTTGGCCAGGACT